GAAGAAGAAGAAGAAGAAGAAGAAGAAGAAGAAGAAGAAGAAGAAGAAGAAGAAGAAGAAGAAGAAGAAGAAGAAGAAGAAGAAGAAGAAAGATAAATCTATCCCTGACTGGCAGCAGTGCATTTTTGATGTGTGTTCTTTGTCAGCATTTGGAGTGGTTATTTTTCAACAGTGGTACAAGGAACAAATGTCAGAACAATTACATCAACATTTCTTGAGTTATTTTGTGCATGATTATGTATTTAAAAGGAAGTTCCTTTTTATCTGTGTTATATATTGAGTCTATCCCAATTATCTTATAAATTTAAATGTTCAGTTCTGGTAATATCCGAAATTTGAAAAAGAGTGCTTTGTTTTGTGATCATTCCTAAACGCAACGCAATTAATTAAGTAAGGGCTATTTGTCAAGATTAAGGGACATGTCCCTGGATAAAGAGGCATTATAAGAAAAGGAGGGCAATTTATATACTGATAGTTGTATAAATCAAAATATTTTCAAGGTAACAAAACCCACATATTTTCTTCCAAGCTAATGTGCATTCTGCAGTTGGTTTCCTCCAGAATTCCCACCCTTAAAATTTCAGCCTTCACAGACATGGGTAGAAAGGGGTTGTTGATAAGGCTGTGTTAAGGAATAAGTAAGAAGAAGCCAAGTAATGAACGAGGCACATGGATCAGCTCCTCATTTCTATACTCTCCATGACACCTAAAGGCAGTGTTTCTCAGCCTTGGCAACTTTTAAGAGGTGTGGACTTCAACCCCCAGAATTCCCCAGCCAGCCATACCTCTTAAAGTTGCCAAGGTTGAGAAACACTGCCCAAAGATATCACCTCAGTCAAACTGCAGTATTACCCTACAACTATAAATACATTTTCTCTCATATTGTCTCTCTCTCTCTTTCTTTATATTTTTATTTTTCCCTTGGAGATTTATCAAGCAGTCTTGGTTCACATATCAATAAAGTCATGACATAATTAGATTATTTTGACAATACAATGTACAAACACCCCAAGAAAAAAGTCATAGGACCGCTTGTCAAAAAAAAGTAGCAAGTTTCTTAAAGGCAAGAAAACAACAATACCCACATACACCCCCTTAGTCCTTTATAAGTGCACTCAACTAGAGATGTCTGTAAAACTATTCTAGAACCTATAGCATTGCCTCATCTTGAAATACAGCACTTATGTCTGTTCAATATTATTGATTCTACTCCCAATGTGATTTTAAGCATAGACAAGTTCTTCAGCTACTTACAAAGAGTCAACTTTATATAATTTGCTTTTCATTGCTCCCAGCTGTATTAAAACTTTTGCTTCAATTTTTACAGGGAATTTTTAGTCTGAAACTCAGTTTTCAGTTAAAAGCCAAAATTCAGGGCTCACAAAGCTTTATTCTTTAGTTGAAACCATTTTTTTTTTTTTTGTCTGCGCTCAGTCATTGCTGACCCTGCAGTGACTGCTTGGACG